GATCCTGATCGGCATCCACCGCGCCGGCGCCGACCGCACCCGACGGCGCGTCATCGCTCGGCCTGCGTGCCCGCGCATCCCGGCGCCGGCTCTCGGCTCTAGGCGCAACGGCGAAGCGGCCGGCGCGCACGTCGTGCCTCTTCTACAAGGTTGCGGCAGGAGGCAGCGGCTCCGACCCCGCCTCCTCCGCCGCCGCGACCTCAACACACGCGGGCGTGAAGACCGACACGGACGGCGAGGCGGGCGCGGCGGGCGCGCGCGGCGGGGGGGGCGGCGGGGGGGTCGGCGGGGGGGTCGGCGGCGGCGGCGTGCAGATCGTGGACACCGTGTCGCAGGAGCAGCTGCTACGGGAGCAGGCAGCGCGGCGGCCGGCGAGCGCGTCGGAGGAAGGCGCGTTGACGGTCGACAAGGAGGTGTACTACGTCGGTGTGATCGACATTCTGTGCGAGTACGGCTTCCAGAAGCAGCTCGAGCACTCGTACAAGGCGGCGTGGTGCGAAGGGAGGGCGTGTGGCGCCCCCGCGCGCCTTTTCAGACCCCCCCCCCCCTCCCCAAAAAACAGGCGGCAAAGTATGGCGAACGCGTTGGCGCGCAAAACTTCTCCGTCGTCGACCCCGTCCAGTATTCAGCGCGGTTCCAAAACTTCCTCGCGGACGGCATCGCCTGAAAACCTGGCATGCTGCCGTGCGCGCATCGAGCGAACGCCCTGGGTATGTGTTTTTAAACAAGCCGAAAGCGCATGAAAAGCAATCTCAACTCAGCCCACACACACCCGAGCTCTATAACTAATTGCCCCACGACCTGTCCACCTGAGCGTCGTGAGCCGGAGCGGCCCCCCGCCCCCCCCACCGCCCACGTGACGTCGGACGTGGTTCAGAGAGGTGTCCCGGACCGCGAAAAATCCGAAAAAAACGAGTTTTGGGCTTTTCATGCATCGGCGAGTATACACGACACACACGACATATTGAGATTCACAAGACAAACGAAAAGCAGGAACAGCTAGGAGCGCAAGTGACGAGTCAGGCTCCGTACATACACACAAGGGAAACGCCTAACACGACAATCGACAAGAGCAGAGATACTCTCGGACACAGGCACACACAACCCACGTATCTTGCGCTGTGCGCGCGCTAATGCTCTATCGACAGGTCTCGACATTGCACAGCTCAGACCCCAGTCCGCGGGCTCCCCCCTCCGCCGCCCCGTCCCTCCCCTGCGACCGCTCGGTGCCGTCGGCGCGCTCGGCGTCAAAACACGCTGGTCGTGGTTCTGGCAGTCACAAAGTCCTGCGTGTACGTGATGTTTTGCGCGACGTACCACAGCAGCCACGAGATCGGGGCGAAGGAGAGGGGGCAGGCGAGGAAGAAGCCGATCGCCTTGCGCTCGTACTCGCGCAGGTGCCGCGCCACGTGCTCGAACAGCTGCCGCGCGTTGAAGGAGAGGCAGCCGGGGAACTTGTGCAGCGAGTCGAGGTCGGCCGTGCCGAGCACCTCGAGCTCGGCGTAGACGTGGAGCCGGCGCCACGTGATGCGGAGCACCCCCTCCACCAGCAGCGTGCGCGCCACCTGCATGCTCACGTACACGAGGATCGCGAGCAGGATCTGCAGCACGAACCCGTGGAACAGCCACTCCGAGTGGCAGCCGCACCGGTTGGAAAACAGGCCGAGCACCTCGCGGTTCGGGCCCGCGCAGGTCACCTCGCAGGGAGGGAGTTCCTCGCACGAGAAGACGCCGTCCGGAAGCGTCGCGTTGACGTCCTGCAGGCATGGCGTGCCGGTGTCGAGCAGCTTTCGCAGCTCCGAGGCCGCTGCCGCCGCCGTCGTCGGCCCCAACGCCCGCGTCGCGCCCTCGATCAGCCGCCTCCTCCCCCCCCAGTCAAAGCCGGACGCCATGCCGGACAGGGAGCCGGCGTCGAGCCCGTTCTCGGCCAGGCTGTCCTTGATGGAATCCAAGTCCGCGTCCGCGAACGCCTGCGACGCGTTCGGCCACCCGCCGCTGGACATGTTGCCCCACCCCGCGAGCGGGTCGCCCGCGCAGATGTCGCCAAAGCAGGCGGCGTCGTCCGGCGTGCGGCTTAGTGCCTCGGCCGCCGCCATGGCGGCGTCGGCGGCGTCAGCGGCGGCGGCGGCTTTGGCGGCGGCCTCCGCCTCGCTCACGGCCTGAGAGGCGACCGACAGAACGATTTCCGGGTCGCCTGCCGCCGTTTTGTCAAAGTCGAGGCACTTTTTGGCGAGGGCGATCCCGGCGGCGTCGAGGGCATAGATCTTGGAGTCGGTGTCGTAGTGCTGCGCCGCCGTCGTCTGGTGCTGCGCCGACGGCTGCAGGTACGTCGCGCACTCTCTCGACCGCCGCTCGTTGTAGACCTGCAGCCCGGCGAGCAGTGTCTTGTCGCCGTCGCCCGCCGCGTAGTTGTAGGCGGCGGAGAAGAGGTTTTCGCAGACCCACGTGCCGTTGCGCGGGGGCTCTATGCAGCCCTCGACGTACGCGTAGAAGGAGAACATGTACACCTGGGTCACGGCGTTGAGCACGAAGAGCATGAGGAAGCCTCCAAAGGCCGCGGCCGAGTACGGGGAGAGGATGTAAGACATGCAGAGCCGGACGGGGTTGAACCGGGCGATGAAAGAGCAGGCGAGCTCGAAGACCGAGGCGGCACCGGTCAGCATCACGCCCTGCTGCAACGTCGCGCGCCGCAGGTCGAGCGGCGGGATCGCCTCGGAGGAGCGGAACCAGTACTTGATGACCAGGCGCGTCGAGATGTAGACCCGCCACACGACGTCGGCCCACACGGCCATGGTGAAGATGTTGTCGATGCTGATCTTGAGCCCCATGATGTCCATCTCGAGCGCGTGGAACCCCTCAACCTTCCAGTCGAAGTTTGACGAGTCGGTCATGTCCGACATGGACCAGTTGAAGACCCACGAGCCGGAGCTGTTGTCGCCGATGCCCATCATGTTGGCAGCGCCGCCGACGATGTTGTCGATGGCGCTGGCCTGCTTGGCGAGGAAGTCCTCCGCCGCCTGGGCCATCTCCGCCGTCGCGTTGGCAATGTTGAGCGGCGGCGGGTCGTAGCCGGGCAGGATCTCGAGGCCGGTGATCGGGTCGAGCGCGCCCGAGATGTCTGGCAGTCCTCCCATCGCGTCGGCGAGGTACTCCTTCTGCGCCCTCGCCATCTCCGCTGACCACGCTGCGAACTCGGCAGTGTAAACGTCCATGTCGAGGTTCATGTCCGGTAAGGGGATGTTGATATTCGGTATGCCGGGCAGGTTGAAGTCGGGCAGGTTGAAGTTCGGGTCGATGCCCGACATGACCTGTTGCATCTTTGCCGCATTCTGCTTCATCCACCTCTCCATACTCTCGGCCGCCTTCGCGTACTCCGACCACTGCGCCGCCTGCTGCATCATGGCCATGTTCATCTTCTTGATCTGGTCGGTGAGCGCGGCCATCTCCTGCAGGATGGGGATGTCGCACGCCGAGTCGGTGCAGAAGGAGAGCGACATGTTGAGCATGTCGAGCCGGTCCTGCATCTTGGCAATCTCGTCCTCCACGCCGTCCTTGGCCGCGCCGGCCGCGTCGATGAACCCCTTGGAGGAGTTGTACATGTACTGGCTGTCGTACTCGGCCCGCGCCTGTCGGGCGACGCGCAAGCCGGCATCGAGGCGCAGAGGCGCGGAGCCCTCGCACTCGCCCCCTCTCACCGCCCTCCCCCCGCTCGTCTGCTGGCTCACGGGAGGGCTAGCTTTGTCCCGCACTCGTCCGGGTGGCTAGCTTGCGTGTCGCGGTCCGCGCCTCGACGCGGTCCGTGAACGACTTTTGCGATGCCATGACCTGGTCGGCGTACGCCTGCGCCGCGGGGCGGCTCGGCGCCCCTCAGACGCAGGCCCGTCGAACCTTCGTGGAAACGGCGTGGAAACGGCGTGGAAACGGCGCGGCCAAAGGCGGCGAGCGGGCCTGCGCCACGGCCATCGCCTCCTGCTTCTCGCGCGACGCATCGCCGAGGAGCTGGCGTGCGGCCTCCACCTACGCGAGTCGCGCGCCCCGAGCCTGAGAAGGGGGGCGGGCTCCGCGACGGCCCCCCACGGCGCCGCCGCGCCGCGCCTCTCGCGGCGTGCAACTGTCGTTGCTCCAAACAAGAGGCACGCCTCGCCTACCACGGGGGGCGCGCAAAGATTGGAGAGCGCTCGGTGCGGTGGCTGCGCGCGCCGAGAGGGCGTGGGCGCGCGGCGCGTGCGCGCGGCGCCTGCCGATCATCTCGAGCCCGTCCATGATTCGCACATGCGAGTTGGTGCACCGCATCTTTAGCGTCTCCACGCGGTGCAGCATCTGGTCGACCTACGGCGGTGGCGCCAGACGAGGAGATGAAGTTGGCGCGAGAGCCACCGCGCGCTACCCGCCTGTCCGCCGAGGCTCCCTCGATCTCGGGGTCCCGAGAGAGTCCAGCCCCCTGCCTGACTCGCGTTGCCGTGCTCTGTGCTCTGTCAGGCCCTCGGGGCAGCCCGTGCCTGGTCGCTCGCCGCCGTCGAACGCGCAACCTCGTCCGCGGCGGCGCCCTCGAGCGCGGCATCGCACTGCGACATCTGCGGCGAGCGGCGGTGGGAGAGAGTGGAAGCGCGCGAGCGCGGGACCGCCACCGCCTTGTGAGGCTCCTCTCACGACTTGCAGCGGTGTGTCTACGCCGGGCGCGGGCTGGCGGCGTGCTCTTCGCCTGCACGCTCGTACACGCCGTGTGCCCTTCCTTCTCGGAGACCATCTTGTCCCAGCCACGCATGCACTCGAAGCTCACCACACTGAATGGCGGCGAGGCGATGGCCGACTGGACAATAAAGCGCGCGACGCCGAGCGAAGACATCCACACGAGCGAGATGGCGATAGTGCAGAGCATCACCTTGGAGAAGCAGGCGTCCGCCTGACGCTTGAGGAGCTTCTTCTTGTCGGCCGCGCTCTCCGCCGTATCAGGCGAATCCGGACCCTTCTCCGCTAACTTCTCCTGGAAACTGGTCTTGATCGGCTTGGGCAGCACGTCACTGTCGTCGGCGTTATTGCTGGCGGTCGGCTTTTTGAAGCCCGGAAGGGGATCAGACGGGAGACCGTGATCCTCATCAGCGTCGTCCACGGCGACACTGGTGTAGCTCTTCATGCGCGGTGAGCGACCAAGTGCACGCTGTGGAGGGCCGCTTTGCTTTGCGCAGCCGACGGACTGGCCCAAATAAAGAATTCGCGCGAACTCACGAGATTCTCGAGGGCGTGCCGTCCTCCCATCGCACCTTCCTCTCGTCAAGGCCCACCGGCCCGCCGCTCGACGCCGCTGCCCAAGGAGGCGGTGGGCGGCGCGCTGCGCTCGCTGGCCGCCTTTGGCGAGCAGGCCCCCCTGAGGTCGCTCATCCGCACCTTCCTCTCGTCGCGGCCCACCGGCCCGCCGCTCGACGCCGCCGCCGTCACCGCCGCCCTCTCCCTCTCGCTGCCCAAGGAGGCGGTGACGGCGGTGGGCGGCGCGCTGCGCGCTCTGGCCGCGCTCCCGGGGGCCACGGAGGCCGCTCGGAAGAAGGCCACACAGAAAAGGGAGGCGGAGATGCTCTCCCCCGAAAGCGAGGCGCGCCGGGCGGCAAAGCGCGCCGCGCAGCAGGCTCGCCCGCACGTGCGTTGCACCGCCACCGGATGCAACAAAGAGTACGCCAACCGCAGCGCCCTCAACAAGCACATCAAGAATGTGGCCATGCGGGGTTGCCCTGAGCACAAGAAGCTCAAGGAGCAGGGAGGGCTGTAGGGGTTCCGCACTAGGTCAGTCGCTGTCAACTTCGCTGTCGCCACCGGCGGGCCCTACCAGCTCTGCCGCCACACCAACACCGCGTGAGGCGCCTCCTCGGCGGGACACAGTTTGTTTGTGCGCACGTAGAGAGCGCGCGAGATACTCGTCCGTGTCCGGCACCCTTTTAGATCTACTGTAGAGTTGTTGTTCGCTGCTGGGTTCCGGCTCCTACCCGGATAGGGGGTCTGTCCCCGCCGACTCGCGCCAAAACGCCCTACCTACCTAGCTACCTATCCCGTATCCCCAGGCCGCGCAGCGAAGCGAAAGATGAAAAGAGGGGGTATGGGCCTCTGCCCCGCACGCTCCCGCCCCTCTGCCCCTCACACGCACCCAGGCCCGACATGCACATACAAGACAAACCCGGCGTTCTGCTCTCAAAAGAAAAGAAAAATGGGAAGGAGGAGACCAGCGGGGGAGGCTCCCCGCCTATGCAACACCCCGGAAAATCCATCAACTACACTCGTCTTCTGGCGCTCAGCCCCGTGCACTGCCCGTGCAACAGCGGTCCGGCAGGCTGCCCCCAAGGCCCCCCGGGCCGCTGCGGGTTTGGGAGTTATGCTTAGGCACAGCTTCGGCGATGGCAGCCCCTGGGGCCCAGAGATAAAACTTCTGATGCCACGCGTGGCCTAGTAGTGTCCCCTCACGGCAGACTACGACTGAGCAGGCGAGTGAATGAAGAACTAAGGAGAGTGGGACTCGACCACCTCACCACAGAAGAGGCGACGACTCACGCACGAGAGATCAAGTTTGTCAAGGCCTCACAAGCTAGCACAACAAACACCTAAAGACTTAAAGGCATCACACTACAAGGAACGCGGCTGAGCTGACTCCCTGTAGGGGGCGCCTCGGTGAACCAGGGACTAGGATCTCGCGCAGACGACACAGGGCGTGCTGCGCCCCGCGCGATCCCTGGCGCAGAGGAGGCTGAGCCGCCGAACTTAGGATGCCTGCAAAGGCTGGCGAAAGCCAGCGAGACACGCCCACAACTCATATCCACTACAACAAGCCATTATGCCCCAATAGGCCCCACCACCCCACCCCTAGGCAATGTAGCGCACATGTCTAGTCCGGAGAGGACGGGGGGGGGGGGGGGGGGCGTAGGGGATAGCACTGTGCCGAGTATTTTGGATTAAAGCAATTTTTTTTCCTAGTAGTGTCCCCAGCTATGGGCGTGTCCACGTTGGAGCCAGGTTGTGGTGTGGACGCGAGAATACTGAATAGCTCCGCCGTTCATGGAGGCAACCGATGCGAGTCGACTGGTGTGTGTCGTCGTGGTTTCGTATCAAGAATACTCACTCACACGCACCCTCTGTGCTCTGAGAAAGCTGCTGGATGCTGGAAGAGGAAGGACTGTCAGTGACACTCTGATCTTTGTCAGGTCACTGGTCAGGTGCCAACCAATGCAGTGACAGGCTCTGACCCCGCCACAAGCGTGTCAGCTGCGAGCGGTTTCCTGCCACTGTCGGATCACCCGGCGGAGTGTGTGGTTTGGGAAGAGCCGAGTGAACTCTAGCTCCTCGCCGGTCAGCGGGCTCGTCGACTTGGTCGCGAGCCAGCGCTCGATCGCCGTCCGCTCGTACGACTGCCCGTCCGCCGCCATCACCGGGTCACTCATGACCTCGGTCGTGATTGGGCAGACGAAGTCGGCCGGCGGCTCCTCCTCCTCCACCGAAAGCGGCCTCTCTGCAGCCAAAGAGGACGACGCTTGCTCGTCGGGCGCCCGCCTTTCCTCCTCCAGCCTCGCGCTCTCCTCGAGCGCCGCCGCCAACTCCGCCTCCTCCCCCGCCGCCAGCGCTGCCTCATCCTCGGGCTCCCGCGAAGGCCCAGCGCCTCCACCGCCGCCCTTCCCCTTCTTCTTCTTCTTCTTGCCCTTCTTGCTCTCCTTGTCGCGCCCGCCCGCCTCCTTCTCCGCCTCCTCCTCCGCCAGCAGCGCCTCGGCATGCCGCCTCGCCTCCGCCTCCGCCGCCGCTCTCTCCGCCTCCCTCCACGCTGCCTCCACCTCCGCCACCGCCGCCGCATGCTCCTCGAGGGCGCGCACGCACTCGGCGTGGCCCTTCTCCTTGGCAGCCTGCAGCGCCGTCTTGCCGTTCTCAGCGCGCGCCGTCGTATCCGCGCCCCAAAGCAGCAAACGGAGCACGACGGCGGCATGACCTTGGATGGCGGCGACCATAAGCGCGGTGCCGCCGTCGCTGTCCTGCTCGTCGACCGCCGCGCCGCGCTGCAGCAGCAGGTCGACCACCCGCTCGTGGCCCTCCTGGGCGGCGCCCATCAGCGCGGTGCCGCCTCGGCTGCCATGCTTGTTGATCTCCGCGCCGCGCTGCAGCAGCAGCTCGACCACCCGCTCATTGCCGTTGGTGGCGGCGTACATCAGCGCGGTGTCGCCGTCGCTGTCCTGCTCGTCGACCGCCGCGCCACGCTGCAGCAGCAGGTCGACCACCCGCTCGTGGTCCTCCTGGGCGGCGCCCATCAGCGCGGTGCCGCCTCGGCTGCCATGCTTGTTGATCTCCGCGCCGCGCTGCAGCAGCAGCTCGACCACCCGCTCATTGCCGTTGGTGGCGGCGTCCATCAGCGCGGTGCCGCCTCTGCTGTCCTGCTGGTTGATCTCTGCGCCGCGCTGCAGCAGCAGGTCGACCACCGGCTCGTGGCCGTAGAAGGCGCGTTCATCAACGCGGTGTAGCCTTCGCCGTTCTGCATGTTGATCTCCGCGCCGTGCTGCAGCAGCAGCTCGACCACTCGCTCGTGGCCTTGGCTGGCGGCGCCCATCAGCGCGGTGCCGCCGATGCTGTTCTGCTGGTTGATATACGCGCCGCGCTGCAGC